TTCACCTTCATGTGGGTTCATTCATCTTCATGTGGATTCAAATAGCCTTCATTCACTTTCATCAGGGTTAATTAGCCTTCATTCACTGTCACCTGGGTTCATTAGCCTTCATACACCTTCATCTGGGTTCATTAGCCTTCATTCGCTGTCATCTGGGTTCATTAGCCTTCATTCACCTTCATCTGGGTTCATTCACCTTCATCTGGGTTCATTCACCTTCATCTGGGTTCATTCACCTTTATTTATGTTGATTCGCGTCACCTTTAAATCCATGTTCATTCACCTACATTTACAACACCTTTGTCTGTTATTATTATAGTCTCATAACAACATTGTACGAAACATGCAAATAATGGACGTGAAGATGAAAAGATGAAAAGATGAAACCAAAGTTCATCTCAAATGAGTGAGTAAAACTTGTAGTTTGTTATCCAAGGCAGACGTTATAAACATCCATTCTGTGCTCCTTTTAAAGTCCAACATGAGATTGCCATTCTCATTGCCATAATTTACTTGAGCCTACCCATTGATAGTTTCTATAATCAATAATCAGTATTAATTTTCATCAATGTTATGACAAACACACAGAATTCGAAGCTGTACATGTTTGCAAAGTACAGTTTGAAAATCACTTAATTGCGTAAACATGAAGCATAGTTTCAGAGATACCGCATTAGCCAAAGTTTTTCTTCATTTAGGTTCATTAGCCTACATTCACCTTCATCTGGGTTCAAAGCCTACATTTGCCTTCATCTGGGTTCATTCGCCTTCATCTGGGTTCATTAGATCTAGCCTAATACATTTACATTCATCTGGGCTCGTTACAGCCTTCATCTTGGTTCATTAGCCTTCATTCACCTTTATTTTGGTTCATTACCCTACGTTCTCCTTCATCTGGATTCATTACTTCATTTACCTTCTTCTGGTTCCATTTCTTTATTCACATTCATCTGGGTACATTGGCCTTCATCTGGGTTCATTAATCATGGGTTCATTACCCAATTCACATTCATCTGGGTACATTAACCTGCATCTGGGTTCATTAATCAGGTACAGCAAAGCATATTGAAAAGTGGGGGGACTGGCACTTGAAAATTAAGCATATATAGTAGCTCAATCATTACTTGATTCACATTCATCTGGGTACATTAACCTGCATCTGGGTTCATTAATCAGGGACAGCAAAGCATATTGAAAAGTGGGGGGACTGGCACTTGAAAATTAAGCATATATAGTAGCTCAATCAAATTTCGGGAAAAAACGTTTCTTATTCAAATTCGTATTTTTGGCGCAAAAAGTGGGAGAAGGGGGGACTGCAGCCCCCCTGGCTCTGCGGTCCCTGTTAATGTTAAACTTCATCTAGGTTCATTCACCTTCATCTGGGCTCATAAGCCTTCATCTGGCATGGGTACATTCACCTTCATTTAGCCTTCATTTAGGTTCATTTAGTCTTCATTTGGTTTCTTAGCCTTTATTGGGTTTCATTTTGGTCCATTTAGAATTTCACGTGGCTGTTTATTTGATAATCATTCCACTCACTCTTGCTGTACAGTACATGCTCATAACTAGTTTATGTACAACTTGAGTTGATGAAATAAAGGTTTGCAGGGAGAATATAATATGTATCAAATTGCCCCTGCAACCCTTTATTTCATTAACTTAATATATTATAATCCCCTTGCACTCTAATATATTTTCCCCTGTATTTCTATAAATTAGCTCTTTAGCCCAAATCTTTCCTGTAAGATTGCAAAGCTGCCCCTGGCTTTGAGACACTTGGGAATTGCCCTAAATTCACTATGACATCACTGCTTGTTTATGTGGGGGATAGAATTACCAAATCCAATAGAAAATTCAACAAAATTTGCTCCTAGCGAAACAGTTTAATCTAAATTGGCCTGGTTTTCAGATATGTGTTAATATGTACTAAACAATATTCTGAGCGTTTGCTGGCTATTCTACTTCTCTTTGTGGATTGATACGGGTTTTAGAACAATTTTCGGTGAATTTGCGTTGATATGACCCTGTCCAATGACCATGATCCTTTGCGTTTAACCAATAGATTGCAGTTGAAGATTGTTTTGATGTGACGTCATAGTGAATTAGGGCAATTGGTCCAGGGCTAAATGTGGTATAAGTCCCTGAAAAACAATGGAAACTGAGGCATGTGAAGAATAATATTTGACAGTCTGTTTTGTTTTAATTGTAGAACTGTACGGCCGTACCATCATATCTATGGATGTGAGTGTGACATAGATGGATATCACTCAGGATGTACTAGGAATTAAGGTACTATAGTAGTTTTACTATATATATCTTTTTCTCCTATTCCAATTATACTCCAAATCGAAATACAGTTTGGTGACCAATTTCAATTACTATTTCCTGGGAAACACAAAAGCATTTTCACATGTAAGAGAGACTAGTCTCAGTCCACAACAATTATTCAAATTGGTCACCATATTCCCATTGTATGCTTCATAAAATTACAAAAATTATGTGTTCAAAGATTCAGTTTATTATTCAACATTTGGTTTCCATCTTCCTTTAAAGCTCACATTGATCAATGAAAATAAACATTGTAAACTTCAACTGCTTGCAGTATGTACCTCAAACATTAATGCAATTCTCAAAGGAAGATGGAAAACAAACATCAATAATAAACTTACTGAAACTTTGAACCTTGGTAGAATGTAGCACAAGTGAGTTGGACTTTAATAAGATTCTGTACATTCTATTCTTTTTACAGATTTCAAGTGTCATCCTATTCAGCTGACTATGGGCAGGAAGTTTTTGATAATAAAAGTAAGTAACGTTTACATTCATATTTTTTGAGTGACTTCTTAGAGTGAAGGCATTTAACCCGTGAAATAAAAATTATTAGTCAATGTGTAATACATGTAGTCAAATAGACAAAAGAAAAACAATGGAAATGAGATCTACTAATTTGTGTTAGTCTAACATCTATTTCACGGGTTTAGTGACTTCACTCTAGTCAAATAGACACAAAAGAAAACAATGGAATTAGGGTCTACTAATGTGTATTAGTCTAATACTGTATCTATTGCACGGGTTTAATGACTTCACTTTACCACTGTTTTCATTGCTAAGTGCTGATCGAGACAACAGTTGCAATAATCAGAGTATATAAAGGTAACTTAACGATTTATTTTATTGATGGCAGTCTATTGCCCAAATTTCCTGTCACAACTGTTGTCTCAATCAACTACACAAAGATGGCCGCCATGATTTTTTATTTCAACTCTCTTGGCGATTAATAGCAATGAAAACAGTGGTGAAATGGAACAACAGCCTTTATTCTGAATACTTGTTATAATGATTAAATATTTTTCTTTTCTTACTCGAGGTGACACTTCATGCAATAGATGATAATGGTGCTAGTATGGACGACATTGAATGCAAGATTGATCTTTAATTGGCAGTTGAAGTGCATGTGAAGCCAACATCAGCGATGACAAACAAAGAATTACCACACCATCTGAGTCAAGTAGTAGGGGCTGGCAGGTAGTTATTAGTGTTTAAGGTAGTTGGGGGCATCAGGTTGACAGGTAGATGTCTGCCTGTCTGTCTTACACCCCCTGCTAACTGTCTGCCTGACATTAGGCAGGCAGGTGGCGGGGGATGTCAGACAGACAGGTTTAAGTTAGTGGGGGGTGTCTTATGCCTGACACCCCCCACTACCTTAAACCTGAGGCCCCCCACTTCCTGTCTGCCTAACAACAGGCAGATAGGCAGTGGGGGGCGTCAGGCAGACAGGTTTAAGTTAGTGGGGGGTGTCTTATGCTTGACACCCCCCACTAACTTAAACCTGAGGCCCCCCACTTCCTGTCTGCCTAACAACAGGCAGAAAGGCAGTGGGGGGCGTCAGGCAGACAGGTTTAAGTTAATGGGGGGTGTCTTATGGCTGACACCCCCCACTACCTTAAACATGACGCCCCCCACTTCCTGTCTGCCTAACAAGAGGCAGACAGGCAGTGGGGATGTTAGGCAGACAAGCAATAGGAGAATAGTCAGACAGGGATTATGGGATAGGTAGAAGAATAGGATTAAACACTTCATACTATTAGGTACTTTATTTCATACTATTAAGTACTATTATTCATACTATTAGGGACTATACTTTATACTATCAATTATTAATATAGCTACAGACGGTTCAAATAAACAGACTTTATTCTTTTTGTTCTTACTGTTGTTGCATTCAAGAATTATCACTGAGACCCCTAGACCCGTCTGCCATCATGGTGTACAGGTAAATGTTCTGTTCCCCCCTATTCTGTGTCCTGTGGGGTGAGATGTTWACACCCCACAGGACACAGAATAGGGGGGAGCAGAACATTTACCTGTACACCATGATGGCAAAGGGGTCTAATTGATCATTCTAAAAAATGATCAATTAGACCCCTTCACCATCATGGTGTACAAGTAAATGGTCTGTTCCCCCTATTCTACGTCCTGTTAGTTGCCCTGTGGGACACTTACAAGGTACCCCACAGGACACCTAACAGGACAAAGGGAACAGAACATTCCCCTGTACACCATGATGTTCAAAGGGTCCAATAGGACACTTCCATGATGGCGTCATTTTACTACCACTATCAAAAATGCATTTCCTCGTGAGAACAGTAAGACAATTGCTGCTAATTAACTGACAAGATAAAGTATGCAAGGGATTCTGGTAGTGGTAGTAAATGACGCCATTATGCAAGTGTCCTATTGGCCATTCTTAAGTTAAGGAGAAAACAGGATTGAGTTAACATTGCAACAGCCCTAAAATGCACTGCAATGCCAAGTCCACTCTTTTCTCCTCAACCTAAGAATGATTGATAACGTTTTCCACGGTTACTTAAGATAAATATCGCAAAGCAGGTAGGATCAATTTTTGGAAAAATATGTAAACAAAATCTTGAGATAAAGATTATTATAAGTGGTAAGACCACAGTTGTTTCAAGAATTCAAAACAACAAGACTACAAACGTGTTGCAACCGTGGAAAAAACGCTACTGTTTTAGCCTAAACCTTTTTTGGTCAAATACCCAGTTATATGTTAAAAAACAAATTTGAAATTAGGTTGAAAAAAGTGAATTAGTCGTCACTGTTTTTGGTTTTCAAAACCAGTTCTTTTCACTACTAGTGGACTATTACATAACGATACATGGGACACATGATTACTCCAGATGTTCAATTTTTTGAAAAATATCTAGAAAACACTATTGCCAAAAGGAAGATCTTTCCCTTTTCAAAAAAAATTATTTTAAGACTTTTTTTAGTTTCAGACAAAAAAGCACAAAATTATTTTTAAATGAACAAAGGTGTTGCTGAGATGATGGGAACTGTAATCACAACATGCTCTGAATACATGATATGTATATACAAACTGAGATGCATTCGATTCATTGCTTGCCGCAAACTTCATGATCAAATAGCTTGCTGTGTGTCGCTGATAGTCCAAAAAAGAAATATTGATTTATCAACTTTTAACTATACTTTGTGTTTTTCAGAAAACCACAAACTTTTGCACACTTATTCTCCCAAGGTATTCAACTCATTTCAGGAAAATGTGGTCAGTCGGTTCACGCTATTGAACTAAAAAAGCGTCTCAATTATTCATTTAGGCTGCATTCATAACGTATGGCAGAGGAGGGGGGGGCAGGTGAAAATTTGAAATGTCCAGAATAATTCTTAACACCCCCCCTTAAAGTCATGCAAAAAAATACAATCCCCCCTAAGCAAGGCTTGTAGCTTTTTCCAAAAATTGTGATTCCCCCTGTTTTTCTGATAAAAATTTGCTCATCCCCCCTTTTTCCTACCAAAATTTTCCCGATCCCCCCTCTGCCATACATTATGAATGCAGCCTTAAGGTCTTTGTTCACAACAAAATCATTCTTTTCCGTGAGAACCCAAGTAAAAATAATTTTTCAAAATAACAAAAGTGCCAAAAAGAAAATTAGAGACAAGCTTTTTTAGATCAACACCTTAATCCGTTTACGCAAAGCAGTGGGAGAATAAGTTGCACTTTGAAACTCAATTTTCTGAGATACCTACGAAATAAACGAAAAATTGCAGAGATAAACTTAAAAATTTCAGTTAYTACGCTTTCAGAAAATGACCTAATTGTGTCCCATGTAACCTTAAAGACCACTAGTAGCTTAGCCAATCAGAATACAGAATTTGTTAATGACCAATAATAGTAGGTTTAGACTAAAATGGTGTAAATTATAAAATTCTAAAATGTTGACACCTGAGTCCTTTGATAGTGAAATAGATCCATAGTAGGCATAACTGCTGTAATCATTGTTGCTTTCCTCTTGAGGCATAACACTGGCCTGGTAGGAGAATGTATATGTCTTGCTAACATCAGAATATGACTTGCTTTGCTAGAAAAATAAGAAAATGAATAGTTATTGAACTATATAGAACCATAAAAATCTATGTGACAAAGAAGCTTTAGTCAATGAAAATAAAAAGGTCCGACCCTACACAAAAGTTTAATTTGTAAGGATGACCCTCTGAAGTCCCAGCATACTACACTGTACAGTATATCATATTCACAATTGGAATATTATTAATTCATATTATCATGGATTGAAACTAACATTGAATAAGCCAAAATGAAGGTGAATGAACATACATAAGGGTGAATGAACCAAGATGAAGGTGAATAAAATAAAGTAAGTTGAATGAACCCAGATGAATGAACTTAAGGTGACTGGCTATGTTTGGAATTAAATTAAACTTTTAAAAAAATTTGATTTTTCAAAGTGAAATTTACAGTGTGACTACTCCAACCAAATCCACCTCAACAAATTTTCCACAAATTATCCAATAGTGTTTGAGTATTTAGACAATAGATTAGCAGCAAATTTTGAATTTAAATATTCTTCCATTGTTCCGGTTGGTAAAACTAAATGATGAAGAGGAGCTTGTAATATGTTTTCTTCGCAAATTATTGATTTGTGTCATCAAAGATATAGAAAAATAGTAATGTACGACTTCAAATACGACAGGAAAGCAAATTAGAGACCGTATAAAACACAGTCTTTATGATTACAGTTTGTTTCTTCCAGACAAAGATATTAGCAGGCTGAAACTGTTAGATCTTATCACCATGTTGCACGTTTATATTCGACAACAAAGGTGCCGGCAGTCTTGAAGCCATGTAAACCCATGGTTATTTGTCCGATTTGTAGCAATTCTATTGTTCAGATTCCTACTTTTGATTGGCTAATTTGTGGAAAATTTGTCAAGGTGGCTTTGGTTGGAGTAGTCGCACTGTAATGCTTATTCAAAATATGAAAATAAAAATGGGTTGTCCAGAGATAATCAGCATTTAATGCATGCCTACATGTACATGTGAGTTTTTGAAGCAAAAATTGTGCCACTGGAAGTAATCAGGAAAAACTTGCAAGAAAATAGTTCTTTGCAGACCATAAAGTTGCACAAATGGCTGCTAGTGAATTATTCTATAAAACATGTACAACATGGATATTCTTGACAAAAAGACAGTGAAATACATTGATTTGTCATATTTCTTTCTTTCAGTGCCCGCAAAAATCTCAAAGTTGAACAAAATTTTTTACAAAAATCTGAAAGAAATTTGCAAAATTCATGGGTTTTGCCCTCTTGAAATGTGTATGGTTTTTTCAATGAAATCATAAAGACTATTCAGGGGTTTTTGACAACGCTCACATCTTTGGATCAAAAAGAACGTTCAAAAGTAGGCTGTCACCTTAAATATACAGGAATGAAGACTAATAAACCCAAATCAAGGTGAATAAACTTGGTTGAAGGAGTCTAGATGAAAGTGAATGAACCCAGATGAAGATGAATGAACCCAGATGAAAGTGAATGAGCCTAGATGAAAGCGAATGAACCCACATGAAAGTAAATGAATCCACATGAAAGGGAATGAAATCAAAAAAATGCTAATGAACCCAAATGAAAGTGAATGATTAACCCAGATGAAATTGAAAGAACCTAGATGAAAGTGAATAAACCCACATAAAAGCAAATGAACCCACATGAAAGGGAATGAACCAAAATTAAAATGAATGAAGACAAATGAGCCCAGATGAAGGTGTATGAACCCAGACAAAGGTTAAAAAACCTAACAAGAAAAATGAAGGTAAATGAAATGAAATGAAGATGAATAAAGGCTAATGAACCCAGATGAAGGTGAATGAACCCGGATGAAGGTGACCAAAATGTTATTAAACCCAAGTGAAGACAAATGTAAGCTACAGTAATGGACCCAAATGAAGGGTGAACTAAGCTATATGGTGAATGATCATGTGCTGATGCTATTCCGTGTACTACCATTTTGCAAGCATGGAATGTGAAAATTTTTACTGTTTATTTATGTTTTGAAACGATTGGTTGTCTTGACACTTAGATGTGGTTTTGGGCATGCAGTCTAGACTTTGAGTGTCAAAGGTCTTGGTATTACAAACCATAAGCTCCAAAGTGTAAACTAGTTCTTTCAAATAGTTCTAGGTTATAATAGAAAACACATTCAGATGCAAGTCTGTCAGCTTGTTCTTGTATGATCTTGCGTATATGAGCAATTTATCATCGCTTGTATGTTTGACATTCAAGCTCTGGAATACCCGACCAAAACCACATCTAAGTGGACAAATTCCCATTCCACACTTGCTTGGAAATGGTAGCAAGAGCACAGACCATAGAAAAGAGACCTTAATTTGCTAATTACAAGTTTTACTCACTCGCCTGCAGATGATCTTTGGTTGGGTGCGAGCACTAGGTCTGCCATCTTCTTTGAGAAAATGATTTTCAACTCACAGCAACAGCATCTTCTTGTCTTCACGTCCATTAATTGCATGTTTTTGGGCAATGTTGTTATGAGACTATGGAAAAGAAAGCATTTCTTTGTGAACAAACTTCAGTTAAACCTTAAGTTTATTTAGAATTTGCACATGTGGTCGTTTAGTCATGGAGAATCATGGGATCTGGAACTCGTGTTCTCAAGATTAAATTTGAAAAGGAACCAAGAGTGGAACTTTTGAAATAACTGCCTTGGATAACAGACTACAAGTTTAAATACTCACTCACCTGCAATGAACTTAGGTTGGGTGTGGCACACGTCCGCCATCTTTTTGAGAAACCACAACTCACTCACAGCAACAGTATCTTCTCATCTTCACGTCCATTATTTGCAAGTTTCTTTTATAGAATGTCGTTATGAAACTATGAAGCAAAAATTAAAAAACATAAGCTTATTTCTAGTTGAACAAACTACAGTAAGCTTAACTTTATCACGAATTTGCACATGTGGTCGTTTTATAGTCATGGAAAAATCATGGGATCTGGAACTCGTGTTCTCAAGTTTGATTTTGAACGGAACCAAGAGTGGAAGTTTTGATATAAAAACAGACTACGAGTTCAACTCACTCACCTTCAGTTGAAATTTGGTTTGGCGTGACGTCCGCCATCTTCTCTGAGGAAATTATTTTCCTCTACGACTCAAAGCAACAGTATCTTCTCATTTAAGTTTGCGGCCATTATTTGCATGGTTTCGTATAATGTCGTTTTAAGACTATCAAAAAAATGAAAGACTATTTCTAGGCGAAAGATCCAACAAGAGTATCGTCAATGCACGAAGTAGCACATGTGCTCCTCCTATCGTTCCTCTTGTCGTTTGGTTATGGAGCATCATGGGGTCTGGAACCTAGTTTACATACAAGAGACAGGGATCCCATTACGAACTAATTTCGTTCATTCGTTCCACTCTCCTTCCCATATAGCCTGACCTGCGTTGTTGCCAGCCAGCAGTTTACAAAACTGAAGAGAAAACAAAAAAAWTTGATAAATTAAGAAAGATACAAGTTTATCAATTTCTGACTTTCACCATTTTGTTTTTATTTTTTTAAGTACAAAAACAAAATGGCAGTTTTGGCAATTGCAAGGCCACAGGCGTCCCGGACTCTGAGTTCGTGGATTGGGTGATGGGCTTCCTGTGGCGTTTATGGGTTTTTTAAATTCCCCCTTCGACTATATCAGGGCTGTCAACTCTCCCGGATTAGCCGGGAGTCTCCAGATTTTGGGCCGTATCTCCCGGTCTCCAGATTAGAGTCTCAAATCTCCCGGATAATCGCCGAAGCTGACCATTTCTTGTGAGACTCGACTTTCACAACCATAAAATCCAATTATTTTATGTTGTTTGCGTTGTCTTACATCGCTAACAAAATCAAAACGTTCCTCATAAACTGTTATTGCAAGCAGGCCATTGTAATGTAAGCGAAAATCTGATTGGTCAGAAATAAACCAATCACATCAAATGTCACAAAGGGAAAGGTGTCTTTTCGCACGCTTTTTGACGCGCTGTGACGTCATGTCCCTTACCTATCAATTCTCCAGATTTGAATATCTCGGGGGTTGACAGCCCTGTATATGTTCCGTATACCGTATTAAAATAGTGTAATACTTACAATCCTCTAATTGTGCTTCATTTTGTCATTCTATGCATTTTATTTGGGTGGTGAATACTCGCTCCCTCATGCACTAAGGGGGGTGGGAGGTGGGAATCCTACACTCTTCAAACTCTAGAGCATAAAAGGATAATAATCAATAAGTACTAACTGGCAGTCTGAGAAAAATCACCCCAATGAAAAGAAACAAAAACAATTTCCAAATGTCATAATTAAGCTTTCTTATACTCCTTCCTCCTTCCCCTGCAACCCATCCTCCCTTCCCCTGCAACCAATCCTTCCTTTACCTGCAACCCATCCTCACTTCCACTGCTCTGCATCCTCCCTTCCCCTGCAACCCATCCTCACTTCCACTGCAACCCATCCTTCCTTTACCTGCAGCCCATCCTCACTTCCACTGCTCTGCATCCTCCCTTCCCCTGCAACCCATCCTCACTTCCACT